TAAACAAACATTGACAACAGAAGTTAAAGATAAGGACAATTGCAGGCTTTATAGGAAAGGGTACCTGTAAGCTTTTAGTTGAAACAAGCCAAACTATCTGAGGAAAGGTTGAAGGAACTAGTTATTTTTAGCTTGAAGAATAAGGGTTCAGTTTAAAAGAGGAAGGCAAGGCAAAGCGCCTTCCTGGACAAATATAGGACTGCTTAGACCTAGTGTAGCACAACTTAATGCAGCAGTTCTCAGAATTTTTAGAATCTAAGGTACCCCTCATTAGATTCAAGGTATTCCTCCAAAAATGCCAGCTCTTAGTTTCTGCTTATTTTTTGAGTACAGAAAAATTATAGAACACTCTTCTGTTGCAAAGAATTTAGAAAGACCACAACAGTCAGAATGTTCTTTACACTATGTACGCCCATTTGAAACATTTGGGTTTATCTTGTGAATCATGTTAGCATATCTCACAGTGCTGATACTGAGCAACATCCTGTAAAATGTAAAATGGGTTATGAACCATTGGAAGGACTGAGAAGCTCCTGCCATCCTTTTCCATGGTCCTGTTGATTTGTTCAGATGGTGGTGATGATCTAATCATTGGTAATTATCTAAGGAAGAAGCTTGGCTTGATGTTATGAGACTTTGCCTTTAATTTGAGAAGCATTTAATTCTCTCTGCATTAGCCCCTTGGGCTGCATACTGGCAAGCCACGCTCCAGCTGCCAGCCAGGCTCCAAGTGGCAGGATTGCTGCTGCTGCAGCCCCAAGGGAGCCCTAGGATTTCAGGTAAGGTGCTGGAGCCACCCCAGTGCTGGCCCCAGCCTCTCTTACCCCACCTGGGGTAACCTGCCATGCGCCAGAAGCCAGAGGGGCACAGGTGTTCCCTGGGGACAAGCAGCAGTGGCACAAGTAGAGAGCATGCAAATATCAGAGAACATGGAGAATACATTTTTCCTTGTGCTGCTGTTTCTTGTCTCCAGGGAAACAAATGTCCATGCTTGTGTGGACACAGCCTTGGAACTGGCATTTTTTTCATGTTCAAATCATATCATCAATGCATTCTTGGTACTCAAAGCTATGAATAAATTCAGTGTAGCAACAACACTAACCCTACTTTTTAACGATTTGGTAAATAAAAAAGTGTTTGATTTTAATCCTTATATTAATTCATAAGAAGCACCTAAAAGCAGACTGGCATTGGTAATTGACAGCAGGAATAGAGCTGAAAGACTTCATTTGACTCTAAAGACATGATATGAACTGACATCTTTAGTAGATCTGAAGCCATTCAGAGGTCTGTGTTCTTGAGGTGGTGATTGTTTTCAGGCCCCTTGATGTAGGATGAAGACCCAACAGTAGAGTTTTTATATACCCTAGTTCCCAATTCAGGAAAAAAAATATTCTCCATGTTCTTTTTCTCTAATATTTTCTTGCTTTCTTACACTCCCTTTCATTATAGTTTTATATCAGAGGTCACTTAAGGTATACTAGGCATCTAAACTGGTTAGTCTGTCTCAAGGATAAGTGTAGGTGGAATCTGTATAAGGACACAGTACATAAGCTTTTTAGTAGCCTAAATATATATCTAGGTATCTAGTAGAATTTACAAAATCATCTAAACAAATAAGGTGTCTGATTCCAGTTGTTTTTACCTTACTTATAGAATTTTGAAAATCCTACTTACACTTACTGGCACCTTAAACTTCGTAAATCTGATTCCATGTTTTTCATAATTGGAAGAATTCTCTTTGTTTTAGAGGTAGCTATGGCTTCATTCTTAAACAGTTTTGCATTCCTAGGTAGGTATATTTCTTTGGGCATAAGTTGAAAGCTAAAAAGGGGTATAATGTATTCTAAAGCATATTGGTTTAGAGTACAGACTTTAGATTTTAGATCTTGAAATATGGGATAACATTTTTCCTCAAATATAGTCATTTGGGGATGTGAATCCTTGAACATAAATTATTAAATAGCTATATCATCTGAACTATGAAAGGTGAATTTTCCAGCATCTTTTCTTTAGTGAGGTTCTGTCATCATCATTTCTTACTTGAAACAGAAGGATTATCATATGGTTGAATTTCTGATGGCTTGTCATTTCTGCATTGTCTTTAGGATTTGGCCTAGTAGGCCAATTTAAATAATTCTCCTTGTTTTTCTCTTAAGTGATTGCTCTGACATCTTCATATATTAGACATGGGCTAATGTTTGCAGTTCACCTTCAAGTCCTGGCAGAGATACAATCATTTGTGAATGATGTTTCCTTACAATGAGTTTTTTTAAGGTACCATATGTTTAGCAAACATAATATTTAAACACTTTTTCATGCATCCTCTTCAGCATACACACTTTTATTAGATTTACCAGCATACTAAGTAATTTAAGCTAGAAACAGCACATCTTCTATTCTAGCAGCCCTGGATTCTGAGAACCTGCTGCTGATCTTTTTCTTTTATCCCCCTCTCTCTCCTGATCCTTCTTGCCCCTGAACTGTTCATATCAGGCTGTGCAAGCAATAACCTTCAGGCAGTGATCCAGCCCCAGCTGGCCCTGTTCACTTCCGTCTGGTTTCCAGGTAAGGGGGGAATATAATAGGAAAAAAAAAGAAGGAAGGGGGAGGAAGTCATGATTCCAAACTTGATCTCTTTCTCTCAAGAATATACTAGCTGTATAGCTCTTATATGAGGGGAAAACTAAAGGTTACCAAGATAAGTTGGGAAATTACAATAAGTAGTAACGTTCATGGCTAGATTTTCTCTTGAAGAGGAATAAAAACTGTCTTGTTCTAATGCAGAGGATGGATTCAGTGATTAATTCTTCTTTTCATCTCTAAAATCTACAATGAAATGACTTCTTAGTGAAGAAAAATTATACCTGACTTGTCATCTTCTTAGTATCTATTCTTTGTGAATGTTGGCTTTAGTTAAGAGTTGACCTGCTTCCGGGAAGGAAAAAGGTTATGGTGAAGTGAAAGTATACTTGTGAAGGAGGGACCATTGGGTGTAAACAGGGGACATTTGAGTAAGTCATCAGTGAGCCTAATAGTCTGGAAAATATTTTATGTATTAAAGAAGAAAAGTAGGAGTTTTGTGTAAATTCATTCAGGGGTTGGAAACTCGCTTTAATCTTGACAATTAGAGAGTTCATACCTGAGTTCAGGATGAACTGCAAAGTTGAATTAAGGCTGAGTGAAGCACTTATGAGCTGAACACTCCCCTAAGTGTGCCCCTGTAGCAGGGCATTCAGTGTGAAACTACATTTTCAGTAAACTTCTAATATATGAAATCTTCCTGGCATATTCTGGTTTATTGGCAATACAACAGAACTTATTTTTGGTATTTCCACTATAGTGGATTCTTTGATGTGATCCAAACTGAGAAATATGAATTGAATTTTACTATAGGTGGGAAAAATATTAAAAGTGTTTATTCACCTGATTACCCTGTTGAAGGGAGGTTGGATTTAGTGCACTTAGCTGTGGTTGTGAAATTTTCCATTTCAGTTTTCAGTTAAACATTTCAGTTTCACTGGAAGCCTCAAATAGTCTGCTATCCTTTATTGTGCATAGTGAATATACTTTATAGCAATCTATATAAGACTTCTTAACTATTTTCACTTCTAAGTCCTACTTCCATTTTTAGAACCATGCTGGCATTCTCTGTTCTCCATGCATGAGTGAGTGGCCATAACAAGAACTGCTACTATTACTAGCTTTATTTTAATTTTGTCAGAACCATGTAAGCCTACCTGGTTTCTGTCAGTATACTTTGGGACAGATTCTGGCCCCAGCACGTAGCTTGAATTAGCTCTGAAGTTATGTGCTAGTGGGCAGAAAATCCTCATTTTCAGGGTGTTCCAAACCAGTTAGCACTACCTCCAAGACAGTGAATCTGTGCAATGGCAGAACTGGTATGCTGGGTAAAGCTCTCCAAAAGATTTGCAATATCCAAGGGTTGTGAAACTATGTATAGGTTCCTAGAATCCTTTCCCCCCACCAAGGCTCAGGACAGACATTCAAAAAGCCTGAGCCTGAATTGATTCACTCTTTGCAGGTCAGTCTAACCTAGCTAGGCTAAACCAGTTTGTAACTGAACAGACATCCCAGAATTGCAGACACATGCCTGTAGTGGCTCAGGCTAGAAGCCGGGGGGTACTAGAGCAGCCCTCCCTTCCCTTGCACAGCATGTGGCCAGGCTCCAGCAAGACACTCTGATTAGACCAGCAGGGAATTGATAACAATCTTTATCATCCATAACTCAGTGTTTATTACCCCATTAAGAAAACAACAGAGGGTAGATTACCAGCTATCTGATTCTGCCTGTTGATTCTACCTGTTGGTTCAGCACCAACCATAGCCTGCATGTGGTCTGCTAGCTAATACACAGACACCTCTCCACAAGGCAGTGGGGAGCAGGGAATTCCTGCTTAGGAGGGAATGGTGAGGGGAGGACGGTGAGCAGCCTGCAGTCCCTGCCGGAGCTGCTGCCAGAGAGCAGAGGGGAAGGGCCAGAGAACCCCACCCAGCCCAGAGAGCATGCCGGGATGCTGGGGGACTCTGATTTATCTTAAATGAGCAAGGGGTCTGGGACAGACATTGCATAAACTGGTTTGAGCCAAATCAGTTAAGCCTGATACTACATTCAACCAGGTTTATGTCAAAGTGGTTTCAGCCCTTTTCAAACTGGTTTATGTGCATTAAACATCTGTTCTGTTACAGGTTTAAACCAGTTTCTCATCACTTAAGCTTGTTTGTGTATAATGTATCTCCCTAGCCCAATAGAACAACAGATGGTTTAGTGCCACTGTCTCCAACTCAAGGAAAGTTCAAACAGGAGTTTTTCACCCCTTTGAGAACTGAATTCCTAATTTGTATTAATGTTTTTAACCTGGCTCTGTACAGACTGTATACCATTAAACTGGCAACTGAGTGAAATTAATGGATTGTAAACATACAGTCATTTTTGCATTAGGGACCTATTTTCTTAGCGGCATACGTTTGTTTTTCAGCATGTTATTTGCACTGGGTTATGGTGTAAGGTAGAAGGTGAGAAGGAATGCAAAACTAAACTGGATCCACCAATGGATGGAACAGACTGTGAAACTGGAAAGGTATGATACTAATTTTACTTCTGTTGTTAACAGAAGAAACACAGCAATTAATTTATTCTAGTTAAGTTTTGGAAATTGCTTCTACAAAGTCATGTGCTCGTTACTTTTAAGTTGAGATTAATCGTTTTAAATTTGTAATGTGAATCTAGATGTTTCTGAGATTAAGGCATCTTAACACGAAGCTACTATAATATACCATAAGGAAAGAATTTTACCCTGTACATACAAATACGCTTGCTTGCGTTTTTGCAGCAGTACTCAAAAAAAAAATGATGATGATCTCTATCTGGTTCTTTAGTCTTACACATATGCAGTTATCATTGAAGTCAGTTTTGCTATATAATGACTATGGGTTGATATTAGATATTCTAACATTAACATGATTAGTACCTAGACAATGCTGTGATTAATGATATATACTTGAGTATGATTTACATTCAACGTAAAGGGAAAGTATTGCATTCACCAGTTAACACATTTTACATTTCCCCCACTGTTGATATCTCAGGTTTTCCAGTGAGCAGAGTTGATCACTCCCCCTGTTCATTTTTGATGTCCCTATTTATTATGTACACTGTTAATAAAACATAAATTATTTTGAAAAGATAACAGTTTTAGGTGAAGATTCTGTTGTGCTGTTTATTTTGTTTAGAAAATGGGGAAGACTTCTTTGTAGTATGGAAATATTTGTGTTTACATATGGGCATTTTCCTAATGAAACATTTATGTACAAAAGCAGTTTATTTGTCTGATTGGAATCTGTCTCTGTGAAGAATGTGCTGTTTCTAACATAGCCAGAACAAAAGATGTTTTCATGCTGACATTACCTTGTTTAAACTAGATTTTATAATGTATTTTATAAATGTCATGTCATTGTTGCCCAGTTCCTATACTTTATTGTGAACAAAAATATCAATTTATTTTCAGAGACATAAAGGTCTGTGATGGGAGGTCACAATGAGTATTCAGCTCACAAATACTGTTTATTAGGATTAATCTCCTGAAAAGAACCTGTTCAGATTTACGACATAAAATTGCTACAGAAAACTTGTGTTTTAAAGATAAGTTTTAAAATGTCACTGCATCCAAAGTGGTGACAGTTTTGGTAAATGAATCATCAAAAAATTCAGCAGTCACTTATGGCAAGAATTTTGTTACATGTCCATCACCAACTCTCAGACTTGAGATAGTTTCTACCAAATGTGAATGTAAATAGATGTCCAGTTTGTAAGCCAACTTAAAAAAATAGTTGCACAGCCAATATGCAGTTATTCTGTTATTCTCATGGTATTGTATTGACAGCACAGTGCAGTCTCCCCTAGTGATAATTTGCTATTATAATCATAAAAGGACAGTTTCCATCATCTAAAAAAACAAATAAAACCATGACTAAAATAAGATAGAGATTTCAGAGAGTATCATTAGTATACAACAGGAATGAAGCCATTATTCATTTTCATTTCTTTAAAATAATAGAATCACCCTAATGATGCTGGCAAACTAGGCATGACTGCACCATGTCATATTGTAATATAACACATCTGTGCACTGAATAGCAGGTAACAGTGTTTTCTGAGAAAATAAATACATGTGTAAGTCTATCATGCATTTAGAATGAGCCTCAAAGCTGTGTTGGAGGCAAAGCAGGTAGCAATATCTACAGTTAAGATTGCCAATACTTTCCATTGTAAGACTATTGTTTTGCATTACCTATAACTCTGACAGACTTTCACTGTCTACTCCAGGTGTCTGCCCGAGTCTGGTATTTTTGAGGGGGTTTTTTTCAATCTCCTCTGAAAATGTTGGCAAAAAATGGCTTAGCCATTTTTCAAGATTGAGAAATGGACTCTCAAGAGCAAGGTCAGGAAGAAAAACATTCTTGTCCCATGTTATACAATTCTTACAAGCATTTCATTGAGGAGTCCTATCATCAGTACTCTTTGAAATGGGGCTGAAGTTTAAATTTGTAGGGGGTTGGAGTGCAGTCATACCAAGAATATTCCTTTAGGCAAGGTGCAGCCATTCAGACTAGGGACAGACATTCAAAAAGCCTGAGCCTGAGTTGATTCAGTCTTTGCTGGTTAATCTAACCTGGCTAGGTTAAATCAGTTTTGTAACCGAATAGACATCCCAGAAATGCAGGCACATGCCTGCAGTGCCTCAGGCTAGAAACCAGGGGACACTAGAGCAGCCCTCCCTTGGCTTCCACAGGACTGAGCTGAGGGGAACGTGGCCAGGCGCTGGCAGGACGCTCTGATTATTGCCCACTCCCCCCTGCCCCGAGCAGCCCAGCAGGGAATATGATCACCCCTAACTCAATATTTATCAACACATTAAGAAAACAAAGCCTCTCTCCATTAACTAAGGGAGCTCTTCTTGAGCAGCTCTTCTTGAACAGCTCTTCTTAAACAGCTCTTCCAAGGAAGGACATTAAGCTACCTGTTGATTAGCTCCAAACAGTCTGTCTCCCTGTTGTCTCTCACAGTACAGACCATAGCCAGCATGTGGTCTGCTACCTCAGGGGTTTTCAACTGGGGATATACGTACTCCTGGGGTGACTTAAGATGACCTCAGGGGATATTTGGTAGTGAGTGCTGACACCGGCACTTTTGCCGCCACCGTGCCACTGGCCTGGTAACCAATCGGCTGTGGGAGTCTCCCCCCCCCCCCCCCATTTCCAATTGGCTGCTGGGGACCCCCCCAATGTCTGGCCACCAAGGGGCTCCTTCCTTCTTAACGCCTGCTGGGGGTACATTGACCCAAAATGGTTGAAAACTCCTGTGCTAGCTAATGCTGAGGTGTCTGTGTAAGGCAGAGGGGAGAAGCCAGGCAGACTCTCTGTGCCTGCAAGCTTCTGCCAGAGCTGCAGCCAGGGAGCAGAGGGGGAAGACCAGCCCTGCTGTGGAGCAGAGAGCCCCACCCAACCCAGAGAGCATGTCAGGATGCTAGGGGTGTCTGGTTTATCTTAAACCAGCAAGGGGCTTGGGACAGACATTGCATAAACTGGTTTGAGCCATATCAGTTAAGTCTGATACTACGTTCAACCAGGTTTATCTCAAATTGGTTTCAGCCACTTTCAAACTGGTTTATGTGCACTGAACATCTGTTCTGTTACAGGTTTAAACCAGGTTTTGATCACTTAAACTGATTTATGTGTAATGTCTGTCTATAGCCTCAAATAGCCTGAGGTGGAATCTAAGTTCCGTGGTTTTTTGTAAGTGCAGATGGATACTAAACATAACACACGTTTGCCCTTGGTTGGGGAGCAGAGATGGGGAGGGCTGTAAGGGCTGCTAATTCCCTTTCCTTTCTGTCCATCCAAGATGAGCTTTATATTACACTAGTCCATGGATGGGCAAAATGTGGCCCACAGGCCAAATCCAATCTGCCAACTAATCGGATCCAATCCATGGGCACGTGCCCACCAGTTGATCATATCTTGCCCATGGCTGCCCCTACAGTGCTCTACATGGGATCAAGCCCCACCTGCTTCTGCCCAGTCATGCTTCTGCTTGCACTCACCCCATGCCCTCCAGACACCACCTGGCCCTGAACCCAGCCAATGTATACAGCTTCCCAGCAGGGCTGCTGCCACAGCCACCCAAAAACTGCTCATCTGCCCAGCTCCTCCAGTGGCTTCTCCTCCTGCTACCCCTGTTGCCCTGCTGCAGCCAGTAGGTAACTTGGGGAAGCCATGGAGATATGTGCCTGGCAGAAGATGTCCAGCCAGGCAGGTAGGAAGCTACTACCAGGCAGTTCCTGCTCCAGCATGTGGGGCTTCAACTTCATGCTGCCTACCATCCACTCTGCCCATCCAGCATGATGATCAGCGATCTGTGGGTGGCTGAGTGGGTGAAAGGGAGCCAGGAGCTAGAGCCCCATGCACTGGGGCAGGAGCTCTGCTGTACATGCCCCCTGCTGTCTCTCTTCCTAACTTCTGGCTGGCTCCTGGGACCTTGTGTGCAGACAGCACCCCCATATGTGCACACACATCCATACCCCTTGACACATGTACCCCCCACATACACATACTATACACCCACCGCACATACTCCCCCACATTCCCACAATAGTAAGTCTTTATTTTGAGCTATTATGCAATCACTTCTATATACACTACTCAAAAAAAAAAGCATAAACCAGGACAAAAAATTATTTTTTGGAATAAAATTAAAATATTTTATAACAGGTGTTTTATTTTTAGTATATGGATTGTTTTTTAATCTATAATTTGTTAAAATGATATCTGATAAAAGGTTTTGTGTATTAGGCCCTCAACAGCTCACCAAAATGCATTAAGTGGCCCTCCAGCTAAAATAATTGCCCACCACTGCACTACTTGCTGGTGTTCTGTTTTGCTTAGGTCCGGGGTTTTCAACCTTCTTGGATCAATGTGCCCCTGGCGGCCAGACACGGAGCAGTGTACCCCGGCAGCTGGACGTGGGGGAGGGGAGAGGTGCAGGGTGCATGGCCAAATGTGGAGTGGAGCCAGCCACTGCATGTAAGCTTCCCCCTCCCCCCACATCTGGCTGGCAAGTAGTGCAGGATGGTGCATGGTGGCACTCGGTCCCTGCCTGCCCATACGTACCCCCTAGGGCCTCCTCAAGTACCCTCAGGGGGTTACTCTTTCATTTAGGAGGTAATGAGGAGCTACATTTAGGTGCTACATTATTGTAAACATACATTATTACCATGATAACAGCAGCTTAGGACAAAAATAAAAAAGAATACGTTTTTCAGTTGAAAGTCCAGGTGAAATTTAAGATGGCCAAACAGGAATTTGGCAAAAACCCTGGAAGTTAAAAAAGAAAAAAAAGAAGAAACAAGTAATATTTTTGGCTGGGTTGGTTTAGTCAGGGACATCTTGCCTTGAGCAAGGGGATGGACTGAATGACCTTGTATTGTCCCTTCCAGGCCTACTTTGCTATGATTCTAAATTAGTGTCATACCACCAGTCTACAGAGTTAGGCTGATTTATGCCAACTCTGGTATTATAAGTTTTACCTCTTACCAGAGTTTAACCAGTGACTAGTCTTTTAGTTCACTGAAGTTGTACCTGACATGTTGTATTAATAACTTCTTTCTGCTATTGTTGCTCAGATACAATATAAGATAGTGCGTATATGTCTATTTCAGATGTACAAAACAGCTATACACATGCTCTCACAGTCCTGATACATCAGTTACCTGCTATCTGGGCACCAGTATTACCTGCTATTACCTGCTATCAGGGCACCAGAATTTTTCAATTAAATGAAAAAGATGCATCTATTCTGTCAAGAGATAAATATTTAACCTTACATCTATCAGAAATATACAATACAATACAATGACTATAATATAAAAATAATATGCAGAAGACAAATAAGAGGAGAATTGTGGTAGTTCACTCCCAGCAGGTGATATATATGTGTGGAAGTACCTACTACAAAACATCTCTTGGCCTCAGTAGAATGAGGATTTGACCAAATATCTCTTAAAAGCTAAGAAGCTTCTATTCTCATGGTACACCATTCAAACTATCAGTAGTCTCCATTATGTTACAGCTTGTGTATTCTGTTGCATCAGCTTGGATTAAAAGTTGCAAAAATACACTGAGTATGTATGTCAAATCTAGAACTGCTTATAACCTGATTATATAAATATGTATTCCCAGGGCTCGTCTACACATGCATTTACTCCAACCTAGATTTACTGTGAGGTAAACTTCTACACGGTGGGTGCGTCTACATGTGGTCCTATGTCACTGTAGCAATATGCTACAGTGAAGTAGCACCCATAGATGTCTACATGTGACCAGCAGCTACTTCACCATAGTGGTGTGTTCCCCCCATTTAGTGTGCCGCTACAGTGAAGTAGCTGCTAAAAATAACCATGAACCATGTGTACAGCACAGCATTGGTGGTTACTGCACCATGCTTTAGTACTTCCAAAAGGAAGTACTAAAGCATGGCACAGTAATAATGTTGCCATAGGGCAACGTGTAGACAGCCCCCCTGTGTCCTGGCTCTTCATTTGCCTTCCTCATATCAGTGCTTTTTAGGAGGTAATTGAATGACAGGGAAAGCTAAAAGACCATAAAGACCAGAATGGTATGAAATAAGGGCAAGTGCAATTTCTAGTGGCATCCGTGAAAAAAAAATCCTGTTGGGAATTAGATTAAGGAATTCCCATAATTTCCTTTGACATAATGCTGTTATTAGTGCATTCAGTAAACCAGCTTATGCTGTGCTATCAGTGGAAAGGTAAGGCAGTTAATTTTTTTGGATGTGCCCTGATTTATTCACCTAAGAACTGCATTTTGCTATAGTGGTGTAAAGCTGGCGAATGTACCAGTCGAACCTCTTTTCCTGAACATTTGGAGGGAGAATGGAGTGCCTGGAGTACTTGCAGCAGAACTTGCAACACTGGAATCAGCAGTCGACAACGCAAATGTCCTGGGTAAAAAAAAGTTCAGTTTTCCTTTTTCGTGTGCTTCAGTATTTTTAGTATGTTTAACAGGGGCTAATAATCACCATAGAGCTGTGCTGCCACACGCATGCTACAAGTAGACAATTTTTCTTTTAGGGATACTGACTAATGGGAAAGTGAAAATGTATCAGGTCTACGATGCATCATGACTTCCTTCAAAAAAACTGTTGTGAATTCCCCTTCCTCTGATACAGGAGCTTATTGAGTTATATAAACTTGTGAGGAAAAGAAGCATTCATAGTGAACTATGTGTTTCCCTGTATTATTACTTATTTTCTATGTGGAAATCCCTTGCTGTTTTCCCAAATAAGTATCTTCTTAATGATTTTTTCCGTATAATTCCATCAAGCTACTCTTTTCTTGTTCATTGCAAGTATTCAGTCTTTAAGATTTGAGCTGTGCTCTCTAGTTTTCATTGGTGTTACTAGTTGGAGATGTATAGCTTTCATAATGTAGCTTCTGTTGTAAAATTTTACAATTTAAAAATTCATATTGTTCGATTGTTTATCTAAAATTAGCAATATCCAGGAATGTTTCCAACAGTAAATGAATGCACTAAAATATTCACTTAAAAGCAGATACGCAAGGAACAGAGCTTATTGAAGCAAACTCAATTAAAAAGCAGGTATCGTCATAGGTTATATTTGAATATTTTTGCAATTTTGCTGAAGATTTATGTTTTGGGAGGCTTGGTTTTTGTTGGGGCTTATACTATGCAAAACTAGTGAGAACAACAGAGCAGGAACAATACAATTATGTTTTTAAAGGTGGCCGACAAAGGAAGGAAAGCCCTTTGTTATTAGTTAGTTAGGTTTGGGTGTGTTTTTTTAAATCTGGAGAAATATTCATAATATCAGGCCATGTCTTTTCTTATTCCAAAAAACTTAAAGAAGAAAAACTGAATTTTTTAATGTCTGTTTAGAAGGACTTAAAGTTTTACATAAAGAAGTTTCCTTCTAGCAGTTTTACAGGCATTTAAATGGAAAAGCTATGAATTAAATAATTAAAGAAATGCAGACATGGTAATTTTGCCCCATTGAAGACCAATGCAGTTTTACTAATGACATCAATTGGGCTAGTCTATTACTCCAGGTATGTAACTAACCAACTAAAACATACTTTCCTCCCAGTTGGTCAAGACCAATTTTTTTCTTTGCAGGTCACTCATGTATTAAAACATAAAAGAAAGGAGTATATAAGAGTAGGAAAAAATAGAGTGGAAAGTGGGAGGTGGCAACAGGAAGGGGCAATATTCTGAAGGCTGAAGATAAAGATGGAGAAGATAGAAGAGAGACACTCCAGAACAGGGCTAAAGACAAGAGGACACAAGGGATGTGGAGACTGAAGAACAGGATTTTGTAAAAAGAAAAAAAAACAATGAATGTACTACAGCAAGGTGTCTGGTAGAAAAGTCAAAATGCTGCCCTAGTTCCCTCCCATCTGAATGTTAGTTTCAGCTGCATACCCACAAATTATTTCCAGACTTTAGAGATGCCAAGGTTTCCCAATAATTGAATGCTTTCCAATTCCTATCTTCTGCTAGTCCTCTCCTTTAATTAGCACCCATAGGATCAACTGAAGAGTCAGAGGAAAGAATAGGGAGAAACATTGGATATAACATTGGCCATGAAAACATGTCTCATTTGTGCCAGAGAAAAGTTTTTCTTCCAGCACAAAAAACACGTTAAGCTATTCATTGGATTTCATGTGAAAGAGAACTGGCTCTTCTGCAAGAAGTTAGATCGTATACTACCAGGAAGAACTCTGGCCTCCCAATCTAACTTGAATGTCCATATACTTGTCTCAGGTGTGGATGACACCCAATATTCCACATTCCTCTGATCTCCCTCTATCTCTCCAAGGGAGAGGACAGGAGCAAGACCACTGACCCAGGATAGCCCACTCAGGGATGAGCTGTTAGTGAGCTCTTTGGAGACCCTGCCCTGAAAAATTCCCCTTCCCTCTCTCTGACCAGCTGATTGGCAGGACAGGGGAGGGATTCTCTTACAATAGGAACCTCCTGGAACAGGTTCCCACTATGGGAGAATGCCCCTGCCTTTCCCTGCACTGTTCTGGTCAGCCTGGAGCAGAGTGGGGGAGGCAGGCTGCAGTGCCCAGCAAGAAGGCTGCCTGAGACTTGCTACCATGGCCAAATGTCACCCCTGACCCTCCCCCTACATTCCTCTGGATTGGCCTGGAGGAGTGCAAGGGTAGGGATCTATTCTTCTATGATAATATGGCCCCTCCTTATCCCACCAAACAGCTGGAACCTCCTGGGGCTGTCTGTCACCTGCTAACTGACAGCCTGCCCCCTTCCTAGGCTTCTCTAATGGGCTCCCCTAAGAAGGCCAGGGAGCAGTCCCATAGTGTCCCCAGAGCTTGCCTGTGTAGTTCTCTGGCAAGAGGCTGGAACACATGTACTCTCAAGTTCCTGGGCTGTTTTTCTACCAGTAAGAATTGCAGAGAACTGAATGCCTGTCTGTGGCCATTATAACGTTGCATCAACAAATTGAAGAAAGTCAGTCTGAAGTAGATGAAATTGTTGTGTCCCCTCACTGATGACTTTAGAGTAGGTTTGGCTCAGTCAGGGGCTGAAAAGTATCCTTAATAATACTTAAAAATCACTTGGAGGTTCTATCTTTCTTGGAGATGTAAGATGAACTTCCTCTTCTCCTAATGCCTAGGTGTAAATGAAAGGCTGGCATTTGTAATTCTTGTATATAAAAATAGTTAACCAGAAATACAACAGAAATGTAATTTTATTTTAAAAGTTTGATTTGGTTGTTAGTGAATCTTTTTGCTTTTTTATGGCAAACAAACTATTTTATTAAAACGTCTGTTTATTAAAACAACTTTTTGTATAGACTGAGTAAATTGGGCTGTGTTCTAAGAGTTTAACTAAAATGTCACCAACCAATAACAAAAGCGTTTATATCATCTTCTCTAGGCCTGGTCCTGAAGAAGATTGTCATGGTCCTCGACTACAATATAAAATATGTGAGAACCTTTCCTGTCCTGCTGGAGTGCCTGCATTCAGGGACTGGCAATGCCAGGCTTTCAGTGTCAGATCTTCATATCAGAAGCACATACTCCAGTGGCAGGCTGTTATAGATGATGGTATGACTAAATTAGATCCTTAAGAACCTGTAATATGCATATATTTTCTAGATCAAGGATTGCTGTTAATTGAAAATGAGACTATAATAAAAAGAAAATTATCATTCTGCAAGCCTGAGCTGCAAAATAATTTCCCAGAAAATCATTTAAACTTTACTGCGCATTTCTTCTGTGGATAAGTGGTGGTTTCACTTACTCCTAGGATCTATTATCTGGTCTTTATATAGCATTGGTTTTCCCCAGTACAGATCACAGTGAACATCTATGATATAAATTAGATACTGATAGATCAAATTCAGTAATACTAAAAGCTATAAGTTAAGCTTTATAGAGGAGCACTAAGATGTTTAAGACAATGTGTGTTGGTTACACATTTAGTTACAAAGCTAAGGAGACAATGCAACTAAAGAGACAATGGAGAGACAGTGTAGTTGGCATTCATTTTCAAAGACATACCCTCTGCTGGATTTTGGCAGAAGCCCATGTTTAATGCATATCTTGGACTTGCAAGAGTTTCTTATAAATTCAGCCAGCAACTGCTTGCCAAGTTCTGGCATACTTCAGGGATGCTACTACAATGTACCAGTCTTGCTTACTAACTTTAAGGGTGCACTCAAGCATGGAAAGCGTAGTTTCAAATGTTTATGATATCTGTAAAACTAAAGTAAGCACAAAATACTGACAGTCTAAAAAAGAAATAGTCTACCCAAATTCATGCAAGGAATGTGAACAATAGCTGCTGTTAGATTGAATTTCCTTTTAAATTGTCATAATGTATTTTTGTCAAAGAAACTAACCTAAGGAATTGAATTACAAAAACAGTCCTAGAAATAATCAAAATTTCAGCCACTGTTGATAAAGATATGAATCCAGTCTGAGATGTAAGATCACTTAGAAATGCTTTATCACAAGTTAAACTGCAGCTTTAAAAAATGCATCAGAAGCATTGATAATAACTTGCAAAATCATACATTTAAAAATATTGTATATCTACGTATTAAAACAGTGGTTTTCAACTTTTTTGAACTGAGTTCCACTTTGTTTTACAATTTTGTTTGTGCCCTCCCACCCCCTCCACTCCCTTCACCCCAGAGGAGCAGCGCAGCCAAGCATGGGCCTCATCCCAGCAGCCATCACGGCTTGGTTTGGCTTGGCAGGGTGGGCTCCACCCGCCGC